AAAAAAATCAAATGACCGGAAGAACAAGCTGCGTTAAGTTAAAGATAATTACGTGCGCGCGCATTCCCCACAATGTGAACGTTAATGTCAGAGAACGTCGTCGTTTCGTGGTTCTGTCCAACAAAAACCTGGTCTAGGATTACGAAACAAAGAGCTCCCGTCTCCACATCATGTTTTAATGTATCGAGTGCAAACGAGGCAGTAACTTTATGCGATATAAACCGTGTCTGCCTCGGCCGACAGAGCCAAACGTCCACGTCAAACCTGCGGAGTCAGGCGGCGGTAAGTCGAGTTTCGGTGCTTCTGTAATGTTTATTATTTGGTTGTGACTTTCCTCCGTTAGGTTTAAGGTTTTAATGTTTGGTTGTAACTACAGTTGGCTCTAATGAAATCACCTTCAGTCCTGTATCATAGACTGGACATAGACCAAATAGACCAGCGGTTTGCAGTAGGTGAGGGCCCCTCCTCTGGGTGGCGCCAAAGAGACACAGCGAAGATGTCAAAATAAAACGTTTGAGAATTTGCACTAAATGTGACGTTAAAATGATAAAAGGATGTTATGACGGTAATAAAGATGGAGAGAGGCACCTGTTGTATGTAGTAGCACTCGGGGGGGGGGGGGGTCACTTCTATTGATGTTAATATAACAGGCTAACTGTGTGTTATTTGTTGTTGTGTTTTTCAGCACTAATTATTTTTGTCATTTGTTTGTTATTTGACACCTTGACACAGACGAGTTTTTCATTCCAGTAGATACAGTACTTGTTGATCAAGTACAACATATCTTTTTTTTTACAAAACCTCTCATTTTGTAAAAACATTGTTAATTAGTTGATTCCCTTAAAAGCTCAAGATGTTGTGCCCCCTCTGCACCCCCTCCGTGGACCTCGTAGGGGTTGCCTACCCCCTGTTAATAACAGGTCTAAACATTTTTTTTCACAGCATCCTCCGTATGTTTTGTGTCTGGAATAGTTAAGAAAATTCACTGAGAGGAAGGAGTGAAGAAAAGGAAAGACTTAACAGACAGAACACAGGAGAGTGTACGAGTTTGAAACAAATCTCTGCTCACGTTGATTTCCCCTGTGTGGCTGTGGACGCAGAAGAAAAAAGAACATCATATACACACACACACACACACACACACACACTGTATATCATCTAAGTGGAGACCTCACTCTAAGTCCTTCTCCTACCTCAGTGTCTCCTTCACTTGGTTTTTTTTTTACCCATTTTTACAATAAAATGATTTCTTAATCATTATTTTATATTATCAATATATTTGTTTATATCTTTTTGTTTACATATGTATATATGTACACGCAGTATTTACATATATATGGTGATATGATTTTCCCAAAACAGTGCCTGTTTTGGGAAATAAATAAATAATTATTGACACACTTTGAATTAGAGGCTCTAACAGCATCCTCCATACTTTTTCTTACAGTACATTCAAAGACCCTGTCAGCAGCAGCAGCATCAGCAGCGGGTGGATCTCTCCTCTCTGAAAATGAGATACAGCAGGATGATTTTTGACAGCCAGGTAGGCTGGAATGCCAAAGATGACGGTTGAGAAATTGTTTGACAGTCGTGCTTTTGTAAATGATATATATTGCAAATTCTGCCTGGGCCCAGAGGGAACACTGTGTTAACATCATTCCTGGCCTCAAATCACTGCGCTCTCTTGTGTCTCACTATTCATGGGTGGGGAAAAAGAAAAAAAAATCTGTGTGACAAAGAACCATCCTTCTTGTATGACTCAGAATTGAGTCATAAATTCCAGCTATTGATTTTTTTTTTCTTCATGTTCACCTGCCCAGCTCTGTTACTGTATTTCTAATCACAAAGGCTTCAAACAACACAGTGGTTGAAGTGAAGCGCGACCTCAGCAGCGCTGCTACAGTACAGTATTCACCTTTGTTGACCTTTGATGTTCACTGTATTATCTTTGAGACCCATATTTTGCTGTTTGAAGTAGTCTGTTCATTTAGAAATTAAAGTATTTTTTTAATACAGGTAAGGGTGAAATATTGGTGTCAAAACCATGGCCCCAGGGCCAAATTCAGCCAATTTATCTTCCTCTCCTTCTGCGTTTACCTCCTTCAGTTTGTCTTCCTTCTTCCCAGTGAGTTCTGGCTCAATATAAAAATCTGAAATTGTCAAACGACCGAAAGTGAAACAAGGTCTTTATTGTTTATTTTTATGGTTTTATTTTTATCCCTCCAGCCATTCTTTGGAACCTGCAGCTAATCCTGGCACACTGGGGTTCTAAAAAATATAATTGTAAAGTGATTATTTTAATAATGTTGAAGACGTCAGATCCTTCTGTCAGTTTCAGGCACAGAAAGATTTAAGAATAATTCTTACAGGACTCTCAGAGTGATGAAAAAGACGAGGAAATGTGCCGACATTTTCAGCCTGAATAAATCTCTTAATCATTACTGGGGAAAATAAACTGTCAGTACTTCAAAAAGTTGTTTTTTTTAACTGAAGTCAGGTACTAGATACTGGAGAAGTGGTTCCCAAAGTGGGGGGCTGGCTCCTCTTGAGGGACACAGAGTAATTTTAAAGGACCCACAAATTTTCATCATTTATTCACAGTGATTTGTGTTCACTTTTCCTTTTTCATTTTTTTTTTGTTTGTTTGTTTTTAGAAAATAGTGTTTTAAATAAAGTTCAGTTGTTTTCTGTTCCGCTCGTTGTGGTTTCAGGAGGACATCGCCGTGCATCACTTTACAAAAGCTCCGCTGCGTGGACTTGGAGGGCAGAGAAAAACAGAATCACTCAGCTGACCATGAACAGCTGGAGAGCTCATATTTTTGTACAGCAAGATTAGGCAAACACCCAAGACTGCAGCCCTTGGACACTTCCTGTCCATCCTTTCAATCCTCGCTCTTTTTCCTTCAGAGAATTCCTTTTTTGTAGAATTTGGAGAAATATCTCTGGCATCTGGGCCTTTGCCTCGTCCAGAATTCTTCTTTAGTCCTTTAAAATCTATCATTTTGGTAACAAATCATTCAACACTTCAATATTTTCAATTTTTCTTTTAATGTTTTTCTATTCATGTTTGTTTAAAAAGATTAATGATATATATTTTTAATCAATCAGTGAAAACTTCTCAAAGATAAGACTAAAAACAAAGTCACTGTAATAGTAATTTAATCATTAGTTTTATTGACTTTACTGAGGAAGAAATTTGACAAATAATATTTTTGTGTTATTCTGTCAATACACAGAGTTATACAGAAGAATATTTTGGTAGAACAATAACAACACAGGAAAAGTTTTTTTTTTTTTTTTTCTGTCACACTGATGCTGATAAAACTATATTTAACTCCATGCATGGAAAATAACATTTTCTCAGTACTTTTTGACTCTTTTTTTTTTTAAGACATCATTTGTCAGTTGAACATCCCATCAACATCCTGGCAGGAAGGCTGACCAGAGAGGCCACTGAAGTTCACCAAACTCATTGTCATATTCATGAAAATTGCGTTGGATGACTTTCTGCCTGTGACTCTGTGCATCAATATGCTGGGAGTTTATGAGATAATGTCCTCCTCAGTGGTGGGCAGAGCTGTGGGCTGAAGTGGCTGCAATTTAGTCATTTTGTTAACAGAGAGGATGACATCTCCCTCACTGACTATTGGCCTTTTCATTACCTTCACAGTAACAGGGTTCAAATCCATATGTGGTGTCAGTATCAAGACGCAGCTGCAGTGACAGGAAGTGCAGTACACACCGTGTCGTTGTTGTTTTTATAGAATCTTGTACTTGCGCTTCTTAATGGATGAAAAGATTGAAGCTTTAAGTGAAAAAGAGAGTTAACACGATAACATTTTTTTTAAAATTATTATCCATCCATTCATCATCTACTTCTTATTCCGTTGCAGGATTACAGTGGAGGCTTCAGCCGACCCCAGTCATCTACAGTGGACAGTTTGACAGACAAATACAGTATATGTGAGTACTTTCATTTGTGTACTTAGTCATCCAGTTACTTCTTGTGTTTGGATACCTTATGATGTAACATGTGAAACTGCAGTGAGGCCCCGAGCACACCAACGTTTCTTCATCAACGAAATGAAGCCAAATAGAAACAGAAGATTGTCTCGTTAACATTTAAATGGCCACCAATTTTATTTACTCACGTTTTTGTTTAGGTACTAGTATTTGAACACAATATCCTGATAGTCAAATACAAAATTTAAGGACAAAGTTCAACATAAATTAAGGTATTTTTTTTTAAAATAAGAAGTTCTTCTGAAAACTTTATTTCTGCACTGCTGCAAGGTTTTGGAACTTTTTGCCAGTTTCAACCCACAGGGTTCATGCTTGGAGACTGTGCTGATCTTTCATGAACTGAGAAAAAAAAAGAAAAAAAACCCAAACGCTTGGCTGTTCTGTTTGTATCTTTCCTTCTAATGTTTTGGGTGATTATTTGCTGCTGAGCCCCCGATCAGCCCGCCTGTCTCTTCTTTGTTTTGGTTTTGTTTCTTGTCTTGGACTCACCAGCAGCAGAGCGTTGTCCTAATGATACATCAGAGAGTGAAGGAGCACGGTTTGAAAACCGTCTTTGGACAGGCGAAGGGTTTGAAAGGAATAATGAAAGAGATGGAGCATCAGCAGGACCTGGCCTTTTCCACTGCAGACACTCTGACACGTCAACACTGAGTTTTTGGCTGTTACATTAGTGGCTCAGCACGCAGCAGATCTGAGGCCTTTAAGTAAAGCTGCCTGTGGCTCAGTTATTACGACTGAATTAGAATTACTCCAAATCCATCAGCTGGACATCTTTACACGCTCGTGACACTTAACGCTTTGGCTTACAGATGGAAAAATAGAATTAAATTGTTTGCAAGGCTCATTAACTAACTTATATTTAAATGGCCACCGGTTTTAATTTGACTGCGTTCAGTTATTTCATTACTTGAGTCGCGCTCCTCTCCAGTGAGTTGTTGTCGCTGGGACTGGTCCAAATCTGCAATCTCTCTGATGACCAGCACTTTTATGAACACTTTGCAGTTTGCTGTACACATCCATTGATCTCTCTCTGTGTTTTCTAAGGAAACATGCCCAGCTGCAAACTCAGCATCTTTCTTTGTCAGGTATTCAATTGCGTCCGCTCTCGTCGCTCTGCCGTCCCTCAGCTCTACCTCTTACTTTTCTGTTTTGTTTTTTGTTTTGCAGTATAAGCTGTGACTCCATTCACTGTGGCTTTCACTGTGGGTGTGTGTGGGTGTGTGTGTGGGTGTGTGTGTGGGTCCTAATGCAGAAAGTGAACACCTGTTGTTCTGCTGCCAGGCTTATTGACGTGAGCTCCATCGTGATGTGAATTGACTTTGAGCTACTTCTGAATATTCTGATCTTCTGACGGAGAAATACACTTTGTCGACCTTGTCCAGGATTTTTGTATTTTAATGTGAGTCAATGTGGTGGAACTTGGAAAGACGGATATTTTGTGAGGTCGTACACAAAACTTGAACTGTAAAGTAGTGACCCCGTGGTCCAGGACCTGCTTTGGCTTCTGACCTCATTTTGACATTGATAAATGTTTGTCAACTGCAGCTCTTAACAGTGATGGCAGCTGTCAATCAAGATGCGTCGGCTCAGATATTTTTATATGTTGCAGTGAACTCCATTTATATTCATGAAAGAGAAAGAATACAGTTGTTTAAGATTTGTATAAGTTTAAATTTCAGGTGGCCCCATATGGGGTCCTGACCCCAGGGTTGAAAAACACCGTTGCAGCCTGTACCTGTGCTTTCAAAGAATTTATATATTTGCACTTCAAATATTTGAAATTGTACATTAGAAACAAGAAAAAGGTTGAGTGAGTTTATTCTCGCTCTGCAGTTTGACTTAAATCTTGTTGTTGTTTTTCCTACAGTGACACCTAGCTGTGAACACTTAGTATTAACTCTATAAATATTAGACCTGGCTTTGTTATTATAAAACAGTTGTTATGACCATGACCTCTGGGACCACCCTCACCTTCTACCCCCCCGACCCCTCATCCTTCCACTCCATGTTAATCAGTCACATTGTTCACTCTAAGCTCTTCACTGACATCAGTCTGTAATCTCAGTCTGTAATCTCCAACAATTGTTTCATCATCTGGTCTATTGTTTTACCCAGAGCAGAAAAACAGTTGAATTTATTATAAAGATAAAAAAAAGATTTTTAAATGACATTTAATGGACAGACAGTACAAAGAGCTCGTGCTTTTTCTCCTCTGACTCTTTAGAGAAAAAGAACAGTATTATAATAGGTATGACCTTTGGTTGAGTCGATCAAAGGAATTTCAGATAATTCTTTAACTGCGTTACTGACGTTCACCAATTACAGACCTTCCACTTGTAGATTCAGCACCTGCTGTTCTGACAGTAACACCACACACTCCTCACAACCTGTGACGCGCTGCAGGACAAGGCAACTGTCAACCTCCATCATTACAGCCATCATCACTACAGACACAGGGCTCCTCGTTAGAGACACGACGAGGCATCAAGGACGCAGCGGTGTGATGGCAGGGTCGGCTGAGAACAGTACGACTCTTCCTATATGTAACGAAAGATCACCGACGCAGAGACTGCACTCAGTCGAGTCGAGTGGAGATATTTTGGTGCCTTAGATAATGTTTTAACCCCATGTAATTTACACGTACTGCTGGAAAGAGTTCTGGTTTTACCAAAGCATCTCTGATTTTAAAGTACCATCTCAACTCCCAGCATGCATCAGTAGTTTATACTTCAGGTCAGAGCAGCCTGACAGTCACTAAATGATATTGTGGAGAACTTCAACAAAATTCAACACATAAAATTAAATTTTTTTCTTCTAAGAATTCAGATATTTTTACCTATGCTAATATACCTTTGAAATTAAACATCAAGTCAGTGATTAAATGTTATATTACAGTATAGTACTTTATACTATATATAGCATTACAGTAATATTGTTAAAAAAAAAAATCTCTCTTTAGCATTACAGTAATATTGTTAAAAAAATAAAAAATCTCTCTCTTTAACGACTGTTCATATTAGTTCATATTAGTCCCAGACTAGAGTCAGTCTGAACTATGAATCGAGAACAAAGATCCTCAGGTTTACAGGAAAACATCGCGGACGTGACTCCGTCGTCTTGCAACGTACAAATAGTTTCCATTAAGTACCAGCTTATCTCTCTTTTTCCACTCTCTTGTCACACTGAAGTTCATTAACGTAGCTCGACGTCAGAGGTTAAAGGTGCGTGAATTCAACAGCAGTGTTTGTTTTGACAGGGTGACTTTTCATCCAAGTGCAAACCGCACACCGCGGCGCCAGGCCAGGCAGACGCTGCAAAGTTGCAATTATACATAATTGCCCCGTTTTCCTTGAGGCGCGGTAATCACTTTGAATAAAAGAGGGTCACGGGTTTGTGGCCTTTCATACTGCTAACTGCCCCCAAGTGAGAACAATTTAAAGTAGTGTAAAGGGGGTAAAATTAATCACCAGTGGAGCGCCCTTAGAGGGTAAACGGTTAAAGTTATTTTCCTGAAGTTTCACGCCGGCTGTCTAAGCAGGCCCAATTCAATTTGATGTTTCTCTGTGGGAAGTGCAGGATTATTCCAGGCAGCTACAGTCACAACAACAGTGAGTGGGAACCTTATCACACACGGACCAGAATAATACAACGTAAGGTGAAGCCCGTCAAATAATACTGTTAGTAACGAAGGTGTTGTCTGAGGAGTTGCCCTGTGGAGGCAGTGAAGACAACAGGAACCTGTGTCATACTGAAGTAGTATTAAAGCGTCAAACTCATTTGGGTTCAGGGGCCGCGTGCAACATAATTAGATGTCGAGTATAAATAACAATAACAATGTTCTTCATCTTTGTTTTTTATGTAAAGAAGTTTACATAACATTTCCTGAACCTTAAGTGTTCAGGAAATGAGGTTTTTTTTCTTCATTTTCAAAATTCATCAAGTGGGCCGGATTTAAACCCAACAGGGCGCGTTTTGACCCGCGGGCCTCATGTTTGGCAGCCCTGTATTAAAGTAAATGATCATTTTAAAAGAACTCATAAAGTGAGAGCGTTAGCAGCAGTGTTTAGGATAGTGGAGAATGATTTATTTTATTTTGGAGCATTTTATGTTCATTAGCACAAATACACACACAGACACACACACACACACACTCCGGTCTCGGCCCAACCCTGGGAGGTGCTGCATTGGCAAGATTTTTGAGAACGGAGTGGAAGCCTTTTTTTTTTTTTTTTTTTTTCTGTGCACTGTGGCCTCTGTGCTGAGTCTGACCAGTGAATGTCCAGAGGCTGAAGCTCAAACTGACAAAAAGAAAATGTGTGCAGACGCCAAGGTGTCTGTGAATAAGTACAGTTACATAATGAAATCCATATATGTATTTCTCACAGAGCTATTGTTTAACTTCCAACTGTTGGAACTGTTTGTGTCGTTGTTTCCTGGTGACGTAGCTGTGAACAGGAAACTGTTGGTTTTTGATCAAATATGATGGAAACTGAAAGAAGACACCGTCTTCAAGTATGTTTGTATATATTTACACATACATGTGTTTGTATTTATATATATTTACATACTTTATAATTCTATATTTACATATATATGAATACATATATGTCTATATACATATAGCTCTTGAAAGAAGTATATATTGTTCTCATATATATGTATAAGTATATGTACATACCTGGGGGACTGGAGTTTGGACTTAGTTTTTTTGTTGTCCTTTTAGACCCACACCCTAACGTGGTCTGAAAGACTTCCTAGTTTTTGGATCCCTCAGTTAGTGTTTCTAAAGGAAGAGGTTTTCTTTGAACATCGATGTCTGGGCTCTATTTTTTTCCTTCCTCCTGAGACGTACCTTCTCTGGTGCGGTGCCGCAGCAGTCCATCCTACCGTCATTTTGCACAGTTTTTACGCTGGATGCTTTTCCTGATGCAGCGCCGTCTGTCATGGTTCAGGTTGGGGTGAAGTGAGGATTTGATTAAAGGCAAAAAAAAAAATATCTATCAGCCAAACACTCCTGTCTTCCAGCTCTAGTATTTTCATAAATACTTTCATAAAAATATGTGACTATTCTTCCGGTTTGTACTGGTACTTTATAGAGAAATGCGTTTCTATGAAGCATTTATTGCATAACGTAGTTGGAATTTACACGTTTGGAAACTTTTGATTTTGATGATTGAGATTGAGAGTGTTAAAAAATTAGCATTAGCTTTTTCTGGTCTGGCCACAGGTTTGCATCACCTCATGACGCCCGGCATTGAAAACCGGCTTGTAGTGGTTCTTCTTGACTGTGTATCAGAATCTGAAAGAAGATGCTGTGTTTTTTCATTCAGCCCCAGAGCATGTGGAATGAGAATGACCAGACTTCTAACCTCCCTTTGGGGCCGGCTCACTCAGCAGTCACTGTGCCTTACAGCAGCAGATGGCCCAGAGAGATGGTGATGCATTCACAATCCACTTTGGTGTGACCACCAATGTCACTGTTTCTGCTGGGGATATGCAACCAATTGCCCCTATGCATTTGTGCTTGTGTTTTCATTAGAGGAATGAGCGGGTCACAAGACACCTCCTGAATGTTGCCGCCGGCGATCTACGCCTGAATGACAATTTAAAGAGCTGAAAGCCCTCAGAAAACTGACGGAATTATTTCAAAGGAGTTTATTGTCATAGGAATAAAATGTGAGACTAAAGGACAAAGTGAAAGACAAAGACTGAATGGAAAAACTTGAAAGTTTTCGTTGTACTTGAACATTTGTGCTGGAATCTGTCAGTCTTTGGTTCAAGTTGTAAAAGAATAATAACCGATGTAAAAGCATGTTCAAGGTTTCACGGAATTCCTGCGGTTGAGATAAAATATGGCATGTGTCTTTGTGCTATTGGCGCCTCCAAGTGGGGGGCCGTGGGATGAACTAGGCCCCCGTTACAAAATGGCATCGTTTTGTCCCAAAAAGATTGGAAAGGTGTAGGAGACAGAGGAGGACGTGACCCAAACTGGAACCTTGGAACTTTGATGTGAGATTTTCACGGGCCACCCGTGTGACCCCGGTGAGAAGCTGCAGCGTAGTGGCTCTGAATTAATGGAGCTGATGGCTTGGCTAAAGATAACACGCCCTCCAGCGTCCCGAGCTAAATCCCCCATCAACGTTTTACACATCAGGTTGTTGGAATGGGATCCAGGTCAAAGCCTTGTTAGATCTCAATCTCAGTCAATTTACACAGGATGGAGGCTTAGAACGATACCATCAGTAACCTCACGGCTCTGCAGCGTGGAATGCTAATTAATGAACTTACCGCTGGCTCCACAAAGGAGTGCTCGTGTGTCACCATTGTTTCATCAGTATTTTAATAAATGAGTCAGAAGAGAAAAACAATAAGTTGCCGGCAAACAGGAGGCGTCTGATGAAATGACGACGGCAAAGTGACAGTTTTTTTCTGAAAGCCTTCTTTAAAAACACTTGCATTGATATTAGTCATTTATCTGCAGGTATGAGCGGGAAAAAATGTCCGTAACGGTGTAGATCTGCATTTGGATCCTGACTGATGGGAAGGCTGTGAATTGTTGCAGCTGTCGCCACAGAAAGCGTCTCCTCCTCATTGGAATTCATAGAACAGCACCCAATAAGAAGAGCACATTTATTTCATTTCCATACACTCAATCCCACTCATTTACACAGTCTCTGCTGTGTCTCCCCAGAACATGCACCTATTCTCAGCTTAACAATCAGACCCTGTGCGCGGGGGGAGTCACAGCTGCGTCGTGCTTGAACCAGGAAATCAGCTTACACTGGTAATTAGTTTGCTCATTTACTGGCTGACAGTTGAACTGCTTTCATCAGAATACCACTGCGGTGCCGTGGAGATACGTCGCCTTCACGGCCGTGACACTGGCGCCTGCTGACTGCTGAGCGCCAAAGTCCTCGTACTGCCATCACACTAACTGTCTGTGTCATTCATTTTGCAGGGGATGAAATTCCATCTCCTGTGCTTCTTCTTTTTTTTGCTCCAAAGAAAACAACCTGTGTGGCGGAGCCGTCGTTCCTCCTGATTATCTTTGTTACAGAGCTTTGTCTGTTGGTAATAAGGGGGAAAAAAGGCTCCTTTGAACAACGTCAGCCTGTTTCTGCAGGTGTCCACGTTATTTCTCCTCTTTGAAAGGCTCATTAAATTTATGCAAATAGCCTTGTCACCCCCCCTCACCCACCAACCCTCACCCCTGAAACATGCAAATGCAGTGTTATGAGTTGAGTACTGTGTGCAGAGTGAAATGTAGAATAAATAGTTGTAGCGTGACGTACTCCGACGACCTCTGTACGTTTTCTGTTTTTATTTAATTATTTGGCTTTAATCTCGTTTCCTGTTCCCGTAGCATTACATTGTCGTTGGGTCAAATTGCCACGAGACACACAGCGCCACCTACCAGTGTAGTGGATTGGGTCAGAGTTTTTCTGGACGGACACCTTGGAGGCCCTTCCTTCTTTCCATCCTTCCATCCTTCCTTCTTTCTTTCTTTCTTTCCTTCCTTCCTTCCTTCCTTCCTTTCTTCCTTTCTTCCTTCCTTCCTCCCTCCCTCCCTCCCTCCTCTTCCTCGTCCTTTCTTTCCTATTTTCCCTCCTCTTGAAGTGCGTTTAATCCTTTTTCCAGCCCATCTGTGACTTCCACGATCGCGTCCTCGCCTCCAGTGTTGACCACACATAATGGATTAGCAACGAGACTGTTGATGCCTCCAGTTCGACTCTACCGTGGCGCCCACTTCTGTAACTTGGCGCTCAGCTGCTCTTTGTCTCCCTGGTCCAGATCTGCAGGGTCTAGAGAAGCATGACTATCTCCAGGCCTGGGTTCTGGCTTTGGCTTCTCTGGGTGAACACTCATATTCAGCCACATGTCACATCTGTGTCTAGAAGTTTCCACGGAGGATGTGGAGACGCGTGAAGATGTTTTAAATAATTAGTCTCCAGCAGCTAATCTGATTTACAGTACGACCTCGGTCACTGTAATTATCACAGGAATGTAGGTCACAGTTTATCTGAGTCTGGTGTCACAGTCAGTGGGAAGCACCGCCAGGTTTGGACGAACGTTCACTTCATGAGCGTATGTTAATGTTGTGAGGGAGGATGATTCAGCGGCGCTGTGCATTTGTTGTAAATTTTATTAGAAACATAACGGCTAATTAAAACCATTAAGTGCCCACACAGTCGAGAGGTCGTGAAGTTTCCAAGTACACTGATAAAAACTAAAGTTATATTAGTGATGAGAAAGCTCCACGAAAAAAGGCTGAGGACGAGGTTCAAAAACTATCACTTAAATTAATTAGTAGACTATTAGTAAATAGTCCTGGACTTAAATTAATTAGTAGACTATTAGTATATAATAATAATATTTATGAGTTACTTTTTACCTTAAATACAGTAGATTTGCATTTATTTCAACAATATATCCATCCATCCATCCATCCATCTATCCATCTAACATGTTTCTTTAGTATCTGAAATATTTGAATTCTCTGATCAGCTGCACTTCACCTCCGTCTGCACATCTAAAGTGTCCAAATACTTCTTCTTCCTCCTCCTCCTCCTCCTCCTCCTCCACCTCACTCTGTCTCCTGCCCCCTCCACAGATACACCAACCATCTCCATGTCTTCTTCCACCACACCACGAGGTTTCTCTGGAGTCTTCCTCTCTTCCTCCTCCTCAGCAGCTCCATCGTCATCATCCCAACGTAAGCCTCACCTCTTTGACTCTATTTCCAAACTGCTCCACCTTAACTGTCCCTCTGATCTGCTCATTTCTGAGCCTGTCCTCCCTGGACCCCCCCGCCCCCCCACCCCCAACCTCCAGCTTCATCTCTGCCTCAGAGGAGCCACTGTCTCTGAACCATACGTCACAGCACATCTCACTACAGAGCAGTTCAACTGTCCCCAAAATTTACTTTAAATTTTAAGGCACCATTTGGATGAAATCACATAAATTCGACCAGTTTTTCTTTTGCCTTTTACAAAGATAGATACTGTGCCGTCCATCCTACGCTCTTGTCTCAATAAAATATATTTTGGCTCATGAAAAAAACAGTTCCCAGGCACCGTCGTGCTCTTACGTCTGATATGTGACCCGGCAGATGTTAATGTCATTCCCTGTGCCAGTTTCCTGGAAAGCAGGGAATAAATTACTTTGATTCTCAAGGTCAGGTAGAATACAAATTCCTGCATGAAATTCTCTTGAGTCTTTGATCCATCACCAGGGGGAAATCTTTGAAAAATAATCAGGGGATCGGTGACTTGGTTCCCCGCGGCCACCACAGCCCTGAGTCAGGCTGGAATGGGCACGGATCACTGGTTTCCATATTGTTTGCTGGTTGTGAAATGCAGATTTTGAGTTTAATGTCTGATTTGCAAGGCAGATCAGAAGATGTGGGTCTTAAAGCAGGCAGATGATTTAGGAGGTCGTTATTCTGTCTAAAGCCCGATCTATTATCTCCTAACGGCATCTTCTTTTTAAATGACTCTCACTTTTTTAACAAGTCTAATTCATTTTATAACAGGCGAGAATTTGACATGAATATTATTTATAGAAAATGGCCACAAAACTACAATTAAAACATTTAGGCTGCCGTCTGAAGTTCTTCTAATTTAACTAAAGAAATGCAGTTAGTTCTTCTTGCTAATATATGATTGATTGATTGATTGTATTGTGTATTTAATTATTATTGATGTTTTTATCCATCAATAAATAATTACACTCATAAATATCTGCTTCTTTTAACAAATATAGACAATATTTACAACAAAACAATTGATCTTTATTTGAATGATTTAATGATTATATTTAAACTTCTTCTACAGGCCACACGTCACGACACACCACGGACTCTGCTGATCAGAATCCGACCCTGCTCGTCTTGTCCGTCCTACGTGGTTATATTTACATCATTTATTTTTAAAGGTAATTCTTCATCTTTATGGGAGGTTTCACTTGTCTTACACCAAAGAGCGGGATATCAGTTAAATATCACTGATTGGACGTTAATTAAATGTCAAGGTTATATCTTAGTCTTAAGTCAGTTCTGTGGGGGGGGGGGCGTTTTAAGGGGGGGGGGGCACTTCACTGAGATAAAGTACTGAGCGCTAGGCCCTTTCAGCTCCATTTATGCAGCCGACACTCAGAAATCCTCCTTAGCATATGATGACATTTATGATACGGCCTGAGGGGAGAGTGAATATGAAATGAATAGAGTCGTGAAAGAAGTTTCTCCTGAGAACTCTGTGTTCAGACCAGAATGAGAAGCAGCGACAGAATTCCTCCAAACATTTTCATTTCCAATTTAGAGCATTTATGGAAAATCACTCAGTTCTGCCGGTTCCAGGATGTAGATGGTTCCATCCTAGACAACTTAATCCTTGGTATCTGCTGTCCAGACCGTGGACATGGAGGACCAGGAGTCTAGTTCTACTCTGAATCTTCAGAATCTATTGTTGTAAATCAGTGGTCGTCAAACTTTTACACTTCTACCACCTCCAGAAATAATTGGCTCTGCCAGTGGCACCAGTCTGACTAACAAAAGTACAGCGGCTCAGACCGGAGCTGTTCAGCTGAGCTCAGCTAGTCCTCATCAGATTATTGGACTACGTCTCTGTCAGGTCCACACTGCACCGTCATTGGACGTTCTCTAGCCCATAATCTAGCCCTCGCTCCAAACTAAATATTTAACCTCAAAGTCCCTCAGTGGAGACAGAAGTAAAATGTCCGCACAAGGACAAAGTATCCTTATGTTTATTTGGCTTGTGATCGTTTAAGTAGAACCATTTAAGTAGATGTCACGTGATCACAGCCGTCAATCAAGATGCTTCAGTTCAGATTTATCTTAGTTTGTATTTAGTTAAAGAATTCAGTTGTTTAAGATTGTATGTGGTGTTTTTAATTTAATGAAGGATGGGTGGTAGATCTGTTAGTTGTCGTTAAAGTGCCCCTTCTTACCCCTGAAGATGGAAGGACAAGTGCCCCAGGGTCAGAGGCCACGGCTGGTCCAGGTGTTTGTGCTGAGGCCTGATTCTACTGCAGTATTTCTGCTGCCGTCAACCCGGGTTTTACTTCCCTGTACTTTGGCTTGTGTTTTCTACGTTGCTTTTTGCTCTTCCTTTTCTCCCAGTTTGGGAGTCTTAGTTTCCTGCGCAGTGCCGTCCTTGTCACTGCTAATCCCACCTTTGGACACGTAGAGTTACATGCACTGCGACTATGACACATGTCACCGGCTTTTTTTTTTTCCCTGCCACAGTTTCCTCCCCCACTGTGCTGACACTACAACTAACAAGCCAGCAATGAGATCCCTCATTGCGCCCCCCCCCCCCAGGAAATAATGTCAAGTGTTTGGTGTTGGGAAAATACATGAAAATCTTCGTGTCATAGAGTTGACAGTGCTTGGCTGGAAAATGCTGTAGAGGTTTTTAAAATGACTTCTTTAGTGACTTTTTTTTCTTCAATTAATCAAATAGTTTTTTTTAACTTGGGGAGAATATAAACACTGGTTAATCCAGTTATTCCACTGTCAAAACAAATGTTTTCATTTGCACACTCCAAGAAAAGGTTTTTGTTTCAACAAGGCGACTCCCAGCTTAAAATACCAGCTCAACTCCCAGCATGCATTTGTCGAGGTTAAGACTTGAGGTCAAATGCCTGGTTTTAGATGATGAAAAAGCAGGACACCAGACTATTTGATGTTGTTGTGGATAAAGACTTTCCTGAAGCAAAATCAAGCTAAATTTCTTTTACATATTTCTTTTTTTTATATTGATAACTTCATCCAGGGATGGCGTTTTATCAAGATAAATCATGATTAATTTTGTTTAATCAGATTGAAACATTTGACAGCCTCTTTTGAATTTGGTCCACGGGGTGAATGTGATTATCAGAAGCACAGCCTCTGTCGTTGGTAGTTTGGAGGTGAGGACACGGGGAGGTGAGTGGTTTGTTTCACGGTGCAACAATTGTCCTCCTGCTGGACCCACTCAAAAACAGAGCTCTNNAAATGTTTTCCATCAAATAGGGAGGCTGATAGCTTCCATTTGGGAGGCTGAGAACCAGTAACTGCCCTTGCATGTCTTCACCTCTTATTGCAGCGGTAAAATGTGAGCACACGCCATCGGTTCCTGAACATTTCAAGTCTTCATTACGGTGATTGTCGTGCTCTAATGGCAGGGGCCGACATTTCTGTTCAGGCTGTGACTTTGATAATGTGGAGGTCAATGACTCTCTGCTGCTGTGAGAGGGTGAAAAATGTGTGCTAACCAAGTCAATAATAGTTTAATAAGTGTTATTAATAATATTATTAGTTCACAGTTGGGCCAAACTGCACAACTACACATCATTGGTTCAGAGGGACGGCAGCGAGGTGGAAACATCTCAATGTCACATATTTTTCTTTTTTTTTTTCTGCTCAAGTGAAAATTGACAAGAAAAGCAGATGTTTAGGAAACAAATAGTTTAGCATAAAGTTGAGTGGCGTTTTTAAGGCGGTGTTGGTGTTATTGAGTGGCGTTTTTAAGGGGGTGTTGGATGTTGGTGTTGGATGTTGGAGTTGGATGTTGGTGTTGGGTTATCTTTGGGTCACATGGACCAAATGTTAATTGTTGTTGTTAATTGACTAGTTAGTTAGTTAGTTAGTTAGTTAGTTAGTTAGTTAGTTCACTGAACAGTATGTAAAGGTTCTGTTTCAGCAGACACGACTCATCAGCCAAATATTTTTTACTGTCCATTTGAAAATGAAAACTATCTAAAATTATAACATCACAGTAGTTTGTACTCAAAGGAGTATTTGACAACACACAGATGGGGGGTTTGGGCTGGGGGGGCTCTGGGGGGGTGGTAGTCACATATCCGCTTGGACTTCAGAGCTGCCAAAAGCTCCCAGTCTTTTATTTTTACCCTAAACAAAGTCTGGACCAATGAGATAACAGCTACAGTGTTCTGGAGCACCAATCAGAAAGCCTTAAAAAACCATCCGTTTAATCTCTCTCCCGACTCGAGCTGCGGTTAATTTTCTCGTGGTGGGCTCGATCAAAATCCCTCTGCTTCCGTTTCATCTCCGCAGCCACAACCGTGATGTTCCTTGCAACAAAAAAGGGTCTTGAAAAATATATTTGCTTTTTTAAAAGGCGCTGGTTCTCTAACGACATCTAGCAGACGTTGTCGCTTCAGCATTGTCCTGAGACAACCTCGACAATCCTTTGAAGTAGTTGCTGTCAAAATGCAGTAATTTATGCAGACGCAGCATCTTTTCTGTGGCTTTTTATTCTTCTGCAGTGACACAGTCTGCTAATATATCTGCTCTTCAAACCCCAAATGTAGATTAAAGGAAAGGAAAACCTGTGAGTTCTGCCTGATCTGCAGGATCCTGAAGCAGGTCGTGGTCTGTAACTGACCCCTCGGTGCAGAGACTGAACCACTGGTGACTTCCATTAAGTAATGTGTATAAAACAACAAGGTTGATATGAAATTACATACCTCAAAGTGCTCATTTGTTGCCCAACGTTGTGATTGATTGGTGTGTAATTTAATTTAGAAAATGGAAACAATCACACACTTGAACCTGGAGGCATCCATCCTCTCTGGCACAGCTGTGGTTCCTGCCCACACCGCAGTCCTGATTAATGCTGTGAACATACGCTAATGCAGACACTGCTGTTCAAGGTGTTCTCTGTCACATTCACAGGCAGGGGGAGGAATAATATATCGTTAAGGGCTGTGGTCGATATGGGCCGCGCCGGAGTTTTTGGATGAAGAGTAGATTTTCCACAGAATACTAAGGCGTCGACCCATTTGTCCTGGGTGTTTGTTAAAAACACGGACGTTTCTGGATTCTCCCTCTCTTCCTGTGCCAGCTCTCGACTGCTGATGAGTCATTTAATGAGTTCAAACTTTTGTCGGCTCAAATATTATATCACAGAATATGAGTCTCTTCATTGGTTAGTGCTGGATGTCAAAAAATTCAGATTTCTCCTCTTCACTTGTATTCTAAGCACAATTATGTGCTTAGAAACTCCCCAGAATTCTAAGAAGAAAGACTTTTCTCATTGAAGACACCGTTGTAGCACCGTGTGGACTTACAGTAAATGCAGTAAATAATTTCCAGTTTATCTTGGACTCCTTGGACTGTCAGTGTTGACAGGTGTTGCTCTACTGTTGTATCTTTAGTGCAAACACTGATCACCGCTCAGGCTCAGCGTTAGCTTTAACTATTTCTGAGGATTAAAATCACCTCCTCAAAACGCACTTGAATTTGGCAGCGTTTTGACAGATTACAAGGCCAGTAATAACCAGGCACAACAGATCTGTCGGCTGCGTTTGTCCACCTCTTCATCCTACGGCTCTCATCGCCAAAGTAGTTTGAAAGAATGAGCTGAGTTTGAGAAATTAAATTTGACACAGGAGGTAATGGAGCCAGGGTGTAATCTACATCAATTTTGGCTGGATGTTCAAACAGTTGCTGCCCATGACTTAAAGGTCTTCCTACACTGAGAGGTCAGGACGATTGACGTCAACCTTGTGTCTTGTTGGTCGACCCAGATGTGGCGTGACACGATGCAGAAAGAGAACCAGTCGGTTTTGTTTTTATAACCAAGTAGAGAAAGAGTCAAATATGATGCTAATGCAGAAGTCAGACGCTAACTGTGAGAGCGCCATCTACAGTCCACTGTGCTGCAGTATGTGTGGTTTTCAAGGCTATCCAACGTTGGAGGAGATAATTCACCTGCTCACATTTCATATTCACCCAGATCCTGTTTAATTCATTTAAGTCATTGATGCATTTTCTCAAATTGTACATCACCGTCGTTGTACTTTTTTTTAAGTGTACATAAATTCTAAAAATGGGAATTTGTGCATGTATTAATCCATATTCATTTTAAATGAGCCGTTATTTCCTCCTCACGTTCGTATTCGTATTCTGTTTTCTTTCAGCATACTAAATGCCTCGTTAGCATTTAAGCATAACAAAAGTATAAAAACCCAGCTCAGAAGGGATTTACACATTACGTGGTCCCTTCACACTCAGGTACAGTGTGTTTAAACACTGGGTAAAGAGGTCTCTACGGACTGTGATTTCACAGGACACAGAAATACGTACAGTAATGTTTAGACCCTCGTTGTTGCTTGTGGGCCAGGAAGGCTAATCGCCACGTAAGCAAACAACACCAAATGTGTTGTAACGAGAGCGGAGCTCTCTGCTGAGGTGGGATTATGATGACACTCAATCAATGGGCTTCAACAACAAGGCTCTGATTTAAATCCTCTGTATGAGCCCAAATCCCTGCTGTCTGAGAGCAGGCGTCAGTAACCTCTTTTTACATGACAGTTAGTGACACAAAAGGATTAGTAGCTGCCTGTGTGCGCTTCATGCTTATTATCTTGTCAAGTTGAGGGGTTTTAACTGCTGCAGTGCAGATGTAGAGGTCGAAATGTACGAGAACGGTTGGATGAAACTGGGTGAAGATGTTCAGAAAATGATTACAACAAAGCGTAGTGTCTGACACGTTGTTGTCGTTTCAAACCAAAACCTTTGCCACAACACATGCTGACCACGGGTGGAGTTTGACGCAGAGTGAGTTTTGTAAAATTTTTTTTTTTGCAAAACTGTTTGCTATCCGTTGAGCTAGTGTAGCGGACTAGAGGACGCCACACACGCTATCCGTTGAGCTAGTGTAGCGGACTGTGTAGCAGAGATGAAGCTGTCTTAATGACTGTAGGAGTGGTACCATATCAGGAGTGTCTGAATAGTATGTGAAGGTGGTGCTGTTAGGAAAAAAAAGATGGAGTTACGTATTTGTATGTTTTATTTATGTACAGATATCACTGGTGTGTGACCAGGAAGAAACATGAGTGATGAACAAACAAGCAATTGAGAAAAATATCATTATATTTTTGGTGCTTTTTAGTTTGTAGACGTAGTTGGAGAGGTGGTGTGTTTACAATTAGACTCTTAGCTGTAGTGAAGAGTTGAGAACAAAGGACAGGACAATGGCTGATGTCATAGTAGAGGCAACAGATGACCAATCAGGTCAATCCTTGGAGGGAGGAGCCAGACGAGGCAGAAGTTATGACTGTGTGCAGCTCCACCGTAGGAAGAACACATCAATTCTCAGACTGGTTTTATGATTAATATTTACTTTGACTTTCTCCTTCACGTCCAGTCACTGGACTGGACACTGAGTCCACACTGTTTCTGCCTGTAACCACATCTCTGTCAGATTCATTGTCTGCCCTCACACAGGGTCAAGGAAGTGCAATTGCACATCAGCTGGAGCCACACATCACTGTATACAGCCTGCAGCTTGTTTTTAATGTCCTTGTTTTACTGACTGTCCTCACCAGACGCAGCCAACACATCATCCCCACGTAGAGTGCACGTAGCTGCTCAGGTCTCCCAAGACAAATGATCAGTGAAGTCACTGGCAGGTTTTTGGTGCTTAATTGCAAATAGCCTGCAGGACATGTCTGCACTGATATTTAAGGGATGAACCTGCGCCTCGGTCGGCAGACGGTTAGTGTGTGAGCGCTTGTGCTCGGCATAGAAATGTCCCGTACGATTGGTCATTTTTCTCCCACTGATCACAGCGGCGTTGTGTATGTTCTCTGAACCAAACAAACCAAAGACAAGTTTGGCAAATGTAACACTGCCTCACCTGCAGTTGAACAAAAACAAGTGAAACACAACTAAGAGCCGCAGTAAAAGGAAAAATAATACACATGCTGGAGGTAATCGGGAAGATGCTGGGAGTAACAAATGACACTCAAGCCCCTCAGGCAGAGGTACTGGAAGCTTACAGCCCATGGGGATAGATGGGTGGGCGATAATGTCCTCCCAGAGGCCCACAACAAGCCCAGCACCCCGACTCCCCCCCAGGAGAACAGATAGGTTTAGTGCACACACACAAAGTAGAGTTATTCACCCAGGAGACTCTGGAGCTGTACAGGTGAGACCACACATGTATCACTAAAATTTATCATTGCTGCTGGGCAGCCTTTGAAAACACGATATAGCTGTGCTAGATAAAACCAGCAGCTCGGCCCAACTCTGGCAGCTGAGGTCTTTTTAAGGCCTGTAACCTGTGGAAAAATGATCAAAAGATTGTTTCAACTAAATATTAATCTTTAAAAAAACCTGAGCCGACGGTTCTTCATTGATGGCTGCGATCAAACCACTGACTAAATCTAAACTGAGGCTGAGTTCAGATTCTACTTCCTGTCTCATACTACGAATGTATGCGCTAGTACCGTATACTACATTGTATGGCTTGTGTAGTAGCTCCGTGGTGAACAGTAAACTTTTGTTGAGACCATGTCTTGTCAGAAACCTCAGATTTCTATTCTTGGCAGACGGGAGCGATACATTCTTCTGCCTCTGCCTCAGGATTTGACATTTTGCTCATTCTGGGATGTCGTCCTTGTCACTGCAACTGTTTCATTTGTTATATTTGTTCCTAATGTTCCTTATCACTGTCACAGACCCAAAACTGTCATTTAACCTGTTGTTTGGGATAAATATTTAAGTATTTGTATTTTTTATTTTTTTTTTACAAACAAAGAGAAGTGAGTTCTGTTTCAGCCTTTTCAATTTTAAAAATTCAATTTTTTAATTATCTTGTGAACTACAGAGAAAAACATTAACAAGAATGAACTTGTTTCACATGGCCTTTTCAATTTTAAAAATTCAATTTTCAATTTTGATGAAGTCGAGACTTAACTTAGTGACGGGAAACCATTGGGTTCAAATCTGACTAATCACATGCTGTCAGTTTATTAATCCTAATTTATCAGGATTATTTGAGATTTTGGAACATGAAGATAAATGACAGCAGGTAGATGTCTGTGTTTTACACCTGTTTTTATTTGTGACTAATCCTAATGATGGAGAAATTGGTGGAAAAATGTCAAGAAAAACGGGGAAAAGTAAAACTCAAATTTTCGCCTCATAAAGTTGGTGATTTTTAGTCATTACTGAGCATCTCGACGCTGACTTGTAGTGGTTTTCAAACCTTCGCTGCAGCCGTTGTCCTGGACAAGATTATTCATTATTCCACACTCTGTCACCGTCCAATTGACAGTTGTTTCAGTCAGTTGTCAGTCATTGTCAGTTACTGACCTGCATCTGACCTGAAGTTGAAGCCTCAACAAGTGCATGCTGGGTGTCGAGGTGCTTTGGTAAAATGAATATTTATTTTGTGTTTTGAACAGGTGGATTGACAATGGCATTATGGGATATATATGGAGGTTCATTCTGTCAATGCAGGAAAAAATGTCACAGATTAAATACCACAGTAAACAAGTGAATTGAACCTCAATTTAAATTTAAAAAATGGTTTTAATGTTTTTGTTTCTTTTTATTAAGCAGTGAAGTGCGGATGTCCTGCCGTCATATTTTAGGACTAAATATATTACAGGTTTTTATTAGTTTTTTTTTTCTTTTTTTAATACTCCCTGGCACTGCAAAATAAATACATTTTCTACTGCATGGACCAAGTAAAAGAAAATTGTGCTTAAAGGATAATAATGGGTCTAAAATATAAGTTCTTCTCAATAAAAAAGTCAGACTCTACCTGTGAATGCAGGTGCAGGCGCAGCACAATTCTTTGACCGAGCTGGACAGTAAAAGACGAGGCTGCTTTAATTCACAGACCAGTCAGGAGTGGCAGAGATGTGATGGCCTTTGAACCTAAACAACAGCCCGGCTGAGCAACTGTCAGCATCAGCAAAAAAAAAAAAAAAAAAAAGTCTGCTCCCAGAATAGTCAGTACTCCATACACTTCAGGTCACACTACTCCATATAATCACCACAGCACCTGCACCTGCCGTCAAGGCCCCGCTCGTGTGGATGGATGTGGCGTTGGACTTTGTGACCACGGGGTTTTTAATTTACCATCTGGGACTTTTTTCAAGTGTGTGTTGAGCAGTAAAACGAACAGCGGCGTTGGGCTGAGGCTGCTTACTGTGAGTTTGATGCGTCAGGAAGACTCGGCCGTAGAAATGCCATTAAAAGCTCAGAAGTGGAATATCAGCAAATTAGTGCACTTTATAAAACATCTTATATTACCACGACTATACGAGAGGGTTACAGCAAATGGAGGGTGATCAATATGTGTCTTATCCACTTCACACTGCAGTTATTTCACATCATGGCTCCCATGTGTCAAAGCCTGTGTTCAGCCAGACTTCTATTGTCTGACACTGCTGCAGCCGTCCTGCCAATTAGAGGCAGAGGAGAATTGGAAAAGTCGCACAACTGTGTCTCTCTAGATTTCAGTCTGGGTAATAGTTTGGAGGTGACAGTGCCTGGATGACTCGTATAAGATATAGTCTTCCAGGAAAGTGCACCGGGCCGCTGCAAACGTAATGATCAATAATTTGTACTGCGCTCTTTACAGACACCTGCACCTGCAGTAACCCGCCTGTAGAGGAAGCCTTGAGTCGCAGTCACCGACACTGAACGCACGATGCAGCAAGTAATGCAGAAAATGAAGAGGCCGCAAGTACCAGGGTAAGTCAAAAAAAAATTAATTAAAAAAACGCTAAAGGGCTAAACCAGGGTTAAAGGATTTAAGGGATTAAAATTCAAATTAATTAAAGTTAAAGTACATTAATGTCCAGCGTGTTGTTAGTGATTTGTTTTTTGTTTTTTATTAGAATAGATTAGAATAGATCAACACGGAGAAGTTCACGGCACCAGAATGAAGTTTGACGTTTAACCATATTTACAACAGTAAGAGCAGAGTTTACACCAGGTTGGCAGTGATGCTGTGGGCATTTGTTTTGGATGAGGTCTTATATATATATATATATGTGTGTGTGTGTGTGTGTATGGGATGTGAACAGTATATGCAGTAGATATGAACAACTCTGTCCTGACTTTTCCTCAAAGATGTTTTATTCAAATGACAAAACTTCCTCACTCTCCCGCCGCTACTTTAACTTTCCTGGTGCAGACGTTTGGAAAACAAGCGTCGAGCTTTTCGACAAATTCCAACCTTATCTGCACGAGGTTCAAACTTGCTCACCTGTGACTTGTCTCATTTTGTTGTATCTTGAGTCAATCTCGTGCTTCCCGTCTGTCAATGCTGCTTGAAATTTTAATACAATGCCAAATCTCCTCCACTGATCCATGGCGGCTGGAGAATGTTTTTTCATCTCTCTCTCTGCTCAACCACAGCAACCACAACACTGGAACTGTTTAATAACAGGTCCTGCATGTACGGCCACCGCTCGGCCCCCGACCCTCGTCTCCTTCACACACCTGTCACCACCTGCTCGCTCCTTATCAACCGCTGAAATGACTTGGGTTTTAATTTGTGAAATGTTATTATCAGTTTGCACTTGGAGCATATTAACGTTTCTGATCTCAGCTCTCATCAACAGGTGTCACATTTCCTCTACTTTTACGTTATTATGGGTATTTAAATACCTGGTGATGGAGACAGCAATGTTCTCCTGATTGTACAGTATAAGTATTTAAATACCTGGTGATGGAGACAGGAATGATCTCCTGATTGTACAGTATAATGTGTCTTTGTGTGAGGTGTAATTGGCTTCTCTCTGTGTCAACGCACAGACATAACAAGACAGGACCTTGATTAGATCAAGCAAAAAAAAAAACCCACTCTCTGTCGAGTCTATTAGGTCTTTAATCAGGGTAAAAGCAACGTTGTTTTATCTCTGCAGATGAAATTCACCTCCAACCCCCAAAAAAACCCAGAGATCCAGATTCTTAAATATTAAATCTGTTGTATATGTAAAGTATGGATATTACATTTACTAAGAAAAATACTTTTTTATATTTTATTACAACTAAAAACGTTTTTTCATTATTGAATGAAATTACACTTTTACCTTTTTTTCAGATCACCTAACTTCCATGAACAATGTTTGAAACACTTGTACTGTATTTTTAAAAATGTATTATTATTTTAATTCTATTAGAGGAGGGAATATGTTGGGGATTTTTTTTTTTTTTGTGCCCCTATTCCTCCTGCCACGGTCCTCAGTATTTTGGTCGAGGGGAAAATAGATTACAGCTCGTCCACACTCAAACCTCATTGGTCAACAATCACGGTTTCTCTGACTACCATCTGAAGCACATTTTCTCTGCTTATAAATTTGATTATTTGGGTGAATATTTGTGCCAACGTTTTTTCCAGAGTCCTTGATTCACCTGAGTCTCTCTGAGTCGTCGTATTTTTCTGTGCACTTCTTTGAGGCAGCGGCCGTCACAACTCCATGTTCTGATTCCAAATGGGCTCCTCTGTCCCTGGGAGTCTAATGGCTCTGCCTTTAGTCCTGTCCTTTAGTGTTCTCAGGTCAGGCACACGGGGAGGCAGGAGGAAGAGAGGGCTTTTAGACCGGCCTGCTCCCCTTAAAGTGCCCTTTTGGGATATAACTGCAGTTTAAACACATCCTTTATGTGCAGGTAATCTAGCAAACAACACAAATTTTAATCACCGGCACGGACGCATACACAGGTGCAAAGGTGAATTCAAAGAGGGGCCTCAGAATTCATCGGGGACCGGCTGTAGAAAGTGGGAGGTGGAGAAAAAGTAAATCATGGAGTGTTTTGAAGCAGAGGCAGACGCTCTGCATTTGAAGTGAGCAGAAGTGGGTTGAGGTTGAAATAGAGGACGCTGCACTCGCCCTTTATTTGAAAGTTCACATTAGGCAGTTGCTCATAAACTAAATTAAAATAAAGAATTGTTGCCTTTTTTTTTCCTACTGCAGCGAAGGACAAAGATAAAAAGTAGAAGTCATTTCTCTGTTCTGATGAACATACAGTAGATGTTGGACATTTAAGTTTCACTCCTGGGTTTATTTGTGACTAAAACTAAAGACAATGAAGCAAAGTTGTTGTTAAAAACCACTGAGTGGGTCAGTTATAGTCATTACTGTGAATCTTGACAGTGGATTAGAGACAAATGAACAGAAGATGAGTTTTTGTGTTGCTCAAAAAAAGTTTTAAATTTGCTAAACTTGACAATAATATATATTTTAATACATATGTATATGTTCATATATATATCCATATATAACATGTATATATATAAATATGTAAATATATTAATATATAAATATATGTATAGTTTACTTTTTACATTTTCAATATTTTACTAATAGTTATCTATTCTTATCAAATCTACTGTAAATAAAACGGTCGATGTCTCAGTATTTCTTTGTGACATTTTGGTTAATGCTAAGCTTTTCATGCTGTGTTAGAGCCGTGGCCACTGTTTGGTATCAGTTGTCCTTCACAGTGTCCTTCTCTACTGTAGGTGTGTGTGTGTGTGTGTGTGTGTGTGTGTGTGTGTGTGTGTGTGTGTGTGTGTGTAGTGCTTTGGGACGTCTCTTTGTGACATATTTGCAGCTGCGAACAAAGGCAATTACACAGTATCTTATAAAATGCAAAGTGATCAGTGTTGTGAGTTTCATCAAACTCGCTCCTCTCTAATTCCATTACAGTGTCTCTCTGTCTCGCTCTGTTGGTCTCCGCACACACACACACACACACACCTTGATAAGGATCACAGGCTGTGAGTAAGAGCTGAGAGGACTGTGACAAGAATTGTTGTCAGGCACCAAATTTGCATTTCCCTTATTAGCATAAAGTACGGCGACAAATTCTAAATAGGGGGATGTTAAACTCCAGGGAGTGTCCAGGTGGGGCCAAGGTTGAGAGATAACCGCAGCCAACTGCTATGAGATAAAGAGAGAGAGAGAAAAAAAAAACTTTAACAAAAATCCAGGCAGAACAATTTAATTTATCATGACTTCAGAGGGAAGTGACAATTGGAGTGAAACTTCAAAGCAGGAATAACTGCAGGAATAAGCAAATTGTACAGGTTAGCTGCTCACACTCACACTGTCTGACTGCGTCTCATGTTGTGTCAGGGGGGTCGGGGGGCGGGGGTCAAATGAGGAGAGACGTCTAATATATTTCAAAGGTTTATGTCCCACGTTGTAGATGCTTTTATGTAACTGACTGTGATCAGCTGCAGCTCGTCGAGGAGACGGGAAGAATTTATGCTGCGATGCTGCGAGCATGAAGTGTGAGAGTGGAAAAAGAGAAGGTCACAAGTTCAAGGCCAGCTTTGAGTGTTGTCTCCAGGTTCTTCCCACATTCCAAGAACATGAAGAACGAGGTTAATTGTTCACAGTGAATTGGACATAAGTGTGAATGTGAATGTGAGTGTGAATGTGAGTGTGAATGGGAGTGTGAATGGGAGTGTGAATGCTGGTTTCTATATTTGACCTTGTGGTGAATTGAATTGAACTAACCTGGATGAAGTAAAATACAAATCTCACCACATCAGATTATGGAGCTCCTCCTATATTTGACCTTGTGGTGAATTGAATAACTGTCCTGAAAGGAGCTCCTTCTCACCCGACCCCTGACCCCTGACCTCTGACCTTCATCTCCATCCATAAATCCTCAGCAGCTCCATGTCCAACACTTGTCCAACTTATCCAGTATCTCTTCTCAGCACGTCCAACACATTTCATATTTTTATATTTTATAAAGTCTTCTCTTCCAAGTTTATTTCTTCTGGATTTTTTCTTTTGTAAAGTGTAGCAGGAGACTCTGAATTCTATTTTCTTATTTCTCTTTTCTTAAGTCTTAACTTCAGGGCAAGTCGTTCTTTGTGTCAGGACCGTCTGTTTTTTTTTTTTTTTTTGCACAATGGCCAATAAAAAATCTTGAACCTTGACATGGAAAATAAATATTAAACACTGTAAGAAAAAGATGTCAGTAAATGCAGGTAAAGTTGTTAATTATCCACTGATTCCAGGTAAAGTTGTTAATTATACACTGATTCTTTTAGTTCAACACTGTACTGTCGTACTGGCTAGGCGTTAAAACGTCCTCGCTCCCTACGGGCTCCTGAAAATAAGAGTCAAATCCAGAGGACACATTTGGTTGAATTAATATGGGTTTTTGTGTGTGTGTGTGTCAGTCTCATGGTCTGATACTTCCTTAAAAAATATTCTGCATTTCATCAAACCTAACAGCCATATGAACCAACCACCATGATTATTTCTACTGACAAACACGGCTGATATCATGTCCCGGTCTCTTTAAATTAAAATGATCAAGGACAGAGTCTCAAACGGCAGCATCCGTTCAGGCCCGGGTTCTTCCTGCTGCAGCTTAGCCAAAAAGATGAAGATTAATTCTGTGGGCGGCCCCAGGCCGGCAGACTTGACCTGCGGTACCAAAGGAACGTTTGAGTCGGGAGACTCCGTTAGATCAGGGGCAATTTATTCCTCTATCCTACATGGTTTAACTCCAGGGGCCGCCTCGTAAACCAGCCATAAATCAGTGCGGCTCTTGTGTAGAAACCTTTGTTTCTTTGGGCTCCCTTATCTAGTTCTTAATTTATTGTTAGCCACACTTCATGCCAGTGGTATATGTGGGAATATTAAGGATGAGGCCGAGGCCCAATCCCATTTCACCCGTTGCTTCTTCCACTTAGCCTTGTTCTCCCGTTGTGGGTGTTGTTCCCATTCCTCTTAAGGTAAAGTAAAGTGTCAGGACAAGCTGTAACGTATGAAACATTTACAGTTGAACTAACTGAAGCTCCAGCCCTGAAACATATATCTGTGTTTTGTAGTTAATATCACTTCAATCCCAGCGTTGTTATTTTAATGATTATCTTCACAACTGCTGTAATCAGCTGTTCTGACTCTGACTCTGCTGACAGAATGTTTGTGTTAATAATGATGTGTGTGTGTGTTAATACACAGGATTTCTAATTCACCCTCTGTGTGGAACAGAGAACTGTGATAATCTGAGGAAGGTCATCTTCTCATCTTCAGCGTAATTTGATCACATGCCAATATTTAATTTGGTCGTAGGCTCTGCCAAGGTCAGGCAGCCGACTGTGAGGGTTAGGCTGTGAGGCTGGCGTTTCCATACAGATGAGTCTTTGGTGAAGAACAGTGAGAAGTAGAACTAAGGAGCTAAGCATTAAAACATACACTCCAGCCTAAGTTCATTATCCAGATATGAAGCTCATTATTAAAGTGGGTTATTGTCAGCCTGCGCTCAGTGACAAGATAATAACTCCCTGTAGGTCTTTTAGCTCCTAGCTCTGTGTAAGGAACATTCTGTCGTTTATAGTTTTGTCGAGGCTCAATCTGTGGGGTTTTAGATAAAGCTTAAAGAAGTTATTAAAAAAATGTGTGTGGTGGGGGTGGAGCGGGGGGGGGGGTGCTAGGCAAAAAAAACTAAAACTGCTGTTTGGAGCATACACAGAAAAGCAACTAGGTGTTAGCTTAGCTTAGCTTAGCTTAGCTTATAAATGTTCAGTTTAATGATCTTTTGTTTTTTAGCCTTCAAAGTGTGTCTTATGTCTTTCTTCCTTCGTCGTCCACAGTGGACTGTGGTCCAACCTCTCATGATTCTCGTCACTTGTGTCCAGGCCTGTGTCCTCCTGTCTCTGTCCTTCATCTTCATGACTCTCTCACTCTTTTCTTTGCTTCTTTCTCTGGAGTCAAACCCAACACCTTCTTTCCAGTTTCTCCAACCCTGAACCCACTGCGTGGCTCCAGCACCACCGCTCGACCGCCTGTACACTCTCCCTGTAAGACGAAGGCTGTGAGAAGTATGAAGGTAGCAGCGTCTGTGCATCGACACCATGGAAACTATTCAGTCTGGGTTCTTATTGGCTCAGCCTTTAAGGCTCAGCTGGTATTAAACAGGTGTTGCAGGTTAGACTCTGGCCCACGGGGAAAATATTGTCTGCCTCGAAATTAACAGTTAACCCCGTCTGCAGACGCTGCCTGGTTTTTCAACTTCAAAGTTGGAGGCACAGCCATAAACAACGTCTCAGCTGAAGCTACTGACAACAGTGATGTGAATGAGAATAGTATTAATGGGTGTGAACAGCTGTTGTTTTGTCATGTGACTGATGGTTGTCTGCTATTACGATTGTTTCATTCTGATTCATTTCAAACGAATCGTTAAATCAATCGTGAGTGAAAAGGAATGTGGATTTTTTTTTTTCTTTATTTAAACTTGAAAGAGAGTCTGATTTATTTATTTATTTATTTATTTTTGTGTGTGAATGTTTCTTGGATGTGTAGTTGACTGTATGGAGCAGCTTGAGGTGAGCAGCCCTCCTGGTGGTTGAAGGAGGATACGGAGGAGAACACGATCACTGATAGATCAGGGTTTTACTTCCAGCAGCACAGAGACAGCAGGTGGGTTCAAAGGTGTCAAACAGCGAGGCGGTGTTTTCCTTCTTGTCAGGCTCTGCTCTTGACAAGCTGTTTCATCTGCTCAGTTGTCAGTCCAACAGCCACGAGCCGTAACATATTACAGTTGAGACACAGTATATGTGGTACAGTATAAGGGAAGTGTGTGTACTCTGGCCCAGCACGTGGTATCTGTAGAAGAACACACACAGGACTGCAGTTTGTTTATAAGGGGCGGGGGGGGGCACAGGCCAGGGGTAACTAGTCCTGTATTTGTGTGTGTCAGAGATTATCTGACACCTTGGGATGATGATGAAGGGTGACAGTAAGAGCAGGTTATTGTACAGTTCTAACAGTGAGCTGCAGAAAATGTGTATTTGACAGAATACGACTGTAACATGTGATGTTTAATTGTGTACTTTCTGACAGATCACACGTTCTGACTACATGTTGTAGTCTTACGCTGTCATAGTAACTGAGACTATATTTACTCTCCCACCTGTACACTGTTTCCTGCTCTTCATGGAAACGAAAATGTTAATTTTTCTCTGTTTCAAACACAAATATGAATAACAATGTGGGACAAAGACACAGAGGGAACGTCAGTTAGAGCTGAGCAACATAATTAATGAAGCTGCAGTTGAAATGAAGAAACAGCCTCTGTTGAACCACAGTACAATCCAGTATAAAACTACAGTATTGTAGTATACTGTATATATACATATATATATATATTAGTCTGAATGACCACACCGGCACATAAAGATGAAAGAAGAGAGAGAGAAAAAAAAGATGATAAATATATTAGTCTGAATGACCACACCGGCACATAAAGATGAAAGAAGAGAGAGAGAAAAAAAAGATGATAATAATAATATATGTGTGCATTAATTTTCATCATGGGAAATCACTTTAAACCTCACCTAAAATAACCTCCCTCATATTCTGTCAAACGTTAAATATAGTTAGGGCTTTAAATGTTTAAATTGTTGTTTTTTTTTTTTGTTTTTTTTTAGGAGCCCCCAAGGTTGAAATGGTTGGAGACACAAATCGTACAAGTTGAAGGTAAGATTAATGCACCACAGATGGTTTTGAGAAAATAGTCCAGGCTTTTATAATAATAATAAAATACACAGATGCCTTAAAGGACCTTAAACCACCTGACGTATGATGTTGTTGCAGCTACATTTATTATTTATTTAAAAAACACACAACAGATTTATCCGTTTTTCGGAGAATCTCCAGTTTCCGTCTTTATTGAGGCTTAAATGATGTAACGTTTAAACTGTGCAGAGTAATCTCAGTGTTGGGGGAGTGAGGGGGGGTTGTGTGTTTGAAACCTTTCACATGTCACGACGAGTAAAGACTTTTATCTGTCACATGCAGCTTCACATGTACACCTGCAGGGCGGCGACGAGTTCAACCCGACGAGGAAGAGGAGGGATAAAAATAGAAAGGATTTAGTTTAGGAATATAAGAAAAAAAAAATGTAATGTGTAATGTAAATGTTTTTACTTCAGAATATATAGAATGCATATATTAGAATGTATAGTATGAAATATAATAGTATAGACTTAACAGTGATAATAATATTATAGTAAAAATATAAAGATATATATCATAGATATATATATATATAATGGTTCCAATATATACTGTACATCAAAGTATAAACTGTTTTAATATAAAACATAGCAATTATTTATAAATGCAAGAATTCAGACTCAAAGACAGCAGTAATGATGCATCTGAGTGATGGGGAAATTAGAGGTTGTCTTCACACTCGTGCTAACTCACCTGCAGAACTGCTCAAACCTTTTTGTTCAGTTGCGACGTCGCTCTACGGCGCCATAAATCAGTAAAGGTCTTCAGGCACGGCCAGCCTGACGACGACGCCGGTAACAAATCCTCAGTGTAATTAGCTTCTAATCCACCCGTGGCCCATTTGTCTGTGAGCAGTCACGTTCTGACAGGTACAATAAGTGTTAAATTATGATCTGTGGATACGTCGCAGCCGTCATGGCTGCAGTAGAGACACAAATCTGCACAAAGACTCGGGGGATTAATCAGTTTTGGTTGGATATGAGAAACTAAAGGTCGACTTGGTGATGCTATTGACTTGGTGATGCTAATGTTGAAAATGTTCTTCCCTGCAAAAAAGTTTACTTTTGTTCAGTAGGAAACATTTGTAGTCAATGAATGGACTTTTGATTTAGTCATTTAGTCGTCTTTTACCTGGGGTTGTCCCAATGTCCCCGATAATTCATGGTTGAGTTTCAGTATGCAATGATCAGAAAGGCAGTGTAAAAAACTGAGAAGTAAAATTGAACTACTTGCCTTGTTACAGGGAGAACAGAGGTACCAGCTGTATAGAGAACCAGCAAACGTTTGATCTTCTTTCTGCGAGGCAAACGCACGAACCGTTCCAACATCGTGTGGTCTAAAACTAATCATTTAACCAAGAAATCAACCAACATTTTTCATCAGTATTATTTCCTCCTGGCAGAAGAAGCTCAGAGGCTGCAACACAATCATTCATCATCCACAACATCTGCTGGACAAACTTCCAGCCAACAAACCAAAGAACAAATGTGTTTCTTCAGTGTAATATCCTTGAAGCTTTTACTCTTTTACATCGTCACGAGTTATTAGATCACTCCGTCCTGAGACTAAACTAAACCTGGAACTTGAGGAAGTGTTGCTGTGACTTTGCTGGATCTCATACAACTGGTCGTCTGGCACTTCCTGTCAGATATGAACAGAAGAGAAAAAAAACTGTCATCATTTGGCTCTCAGTTAATGTGTGGTGATTTAGGCTCAGAACAGAGATACAGGACAGATGGTCTTTGTGCAAATATTAGGATTGGAATTCATAATCTAATCTGCCATTGCTGACAAACCAAACACCTACAACCCCCCCCCCCCCCCCAAAATGTACCGATTATTAGCATGTTAACTAAAAGAAATACATAACAGTTATACGAATAATATTTCTACTAACTGTAATGATTCTTATGCATTCATTTGCAAAATGTTGTTGCATTTTTTCGAAGCAAATTGACACCAAACATTTGAGGTTCCTTTTCATGGTTCAAATCTAGTTAGAATAATCTCTAGTTCTTATTTCCTGTTGTCACACTAATCTATGTTTGTCTTTATGTGAAAGAATAGTGAACGTTATTATTATCATTGTTGTTTAAACATGTCTTTTAAACTAATATGTGAAGGTTAGGGAAAATCCCTTCCCTTTTTTTTCTGTTGTGTCATGGTTTTTAAATGTGTTTTTTGGCTGTGAAACATACTGTATACCCAATGCTCTTAGACCAGTATTTTCTGATGTTTTAAATAATGCATTGCATTTATGTCGGGTTTAGGGAAGTTTACTCCCAGGCTGTCAAAAGGTATTCTAAAACTTGGCTGGTCTATATATTTTTAGCATGCTTAAATATAGATGTGGTAGTTAAAGATATGGTGTACTGTATAACTCCTGAGTGTAAATGCAAAGTTTGTCCTTTCAGCACGCTGAGAATATATAATAATAATAATAAATTTTATTTATAGGCGCCTTTCTGGACACTCAAGGTCACCGTACACAATACAAGAAAAGACAGTAAAAACATAGAGTATTACGGTGAGTAGTAAAGAGCTAAAAGAATATTTAAACTCAATAGAGCATAGAAATTGGCTTAAATGGGTTTAAAATGAAGGTTTATGAAACAGCTCCATAAAGCGGAGAAGAGGGAGCTGAAGCTCAAGTAAAAAGTCCCTTGCTGGGTTTTTTTTTACCCATTTTTATAACGATAATATAATTTTCTTAATTATAATTATTTTTATATTATCATTATTAAGGGGGAGATTTTAATTTAATTAATTAATCATATATTTCTGCATTGGTTTTTAGTTATTTTTGATGGGAAAAATGTAATCGAGATACAGTTAGATCGACTAGATAACTTTCCGTACTATAGCCTTACC